CAGGCGTTGTTGAGTTATGCGCTTACCAACACATTTTGCGATTCATTTTTATATTATAGAAGATTATACTCAATCTACCCAAATCAATACTACATATTGATTGAATAACATCCAAAGGAGTAATACCATTATGAATAAAGATTTTTTTAAGTTAACCTTGTTTTGTTTTTGAAAATATGTAATATGCTCTTGTGAAATTCTTATCGGGTCCGCTTCCCCTGCCAGAGGAAAGGAGATCAGGGATCTGCGCCCCGGGTTGCTACACTGCACTAGGAGAGAGATGGGTCTGATGCGGAACCGTCTGACTTCCATATATTTGCTGCGCTTAAGTTTCTAAGTTGCGCGTTTTTTTATAAATGTTGTTTAAACGTTTTTGTACAAAGTGAGTTAGGTTATATCGTAGATTATATTGGTTACGTTATTTTGGTACGTTACAGTGATCACAATTGGGGCGAGGTTTACCATCTATCAAAAGTACTTGCAATGTTTGAGTTTTTAATCTAATAATGACTATCTTTGCCCTTCGCATACAGCTTTCGAAAGTTCTTATTGACCTACAGTAGGAGACTTTTTTGTGTAGATCATATTTTGCGATTGATAAGTTGCTATATGATTCCATCAGTTCTTGAACGTATTCGAAATCACTATTGTACTTGTGGAGGTTACGGGGGTTGACGGAGTGATATATTTTGTTTGACTTACTGAATCGAAAATGAAAGTTTTAATATTATATTTCAACATGCTTCTATTATTACTACTTATTATAAACATTTTGGGTTATTTGATGTGAAAAATAAATAATCTTCATAGATTATTTTCTACGTAGTCTATACGTAAAAATAGTTATGTATACAACATGGAGATTACGTAGAAAACACGTGTAGACGTAAAATTGTCTATGGCACAACTGAGAGTAAAACTCACAAAGCAACAACAATGTTATTTTATACGGACGAACTGAAATTTATATTATTAAAAAACAAATTTTATAAAACCCAAATATAAACTAGGATTCACTAAGTATAGAAAATACATTTCAGTAATTTAAAATATAATTTGCAAGAGTAGGAGCAGGCCTTAGTAAAGTAGATGGCGAATCGGGCCATATCACCGCATACCGATCTCGAAACTATAACTATTTTGTAATCGCTGTACCGTGCTCACTGTGCGGTTAAAGAAAATTATTACACAAAAGTTGTATGATATTTTATCTTATCTAAAACTGATTTAAATTCTTTATCTAGAGAACTTAATTTGAAAGAGTTGTAGAGAAAATACTAAAAATATCAGAAAAATACCAAATCGATATTATCACACGGTCTGTGGCGTGGCGTAACGTTCGGGTCCTCAAGGCCCGAAAAACGTGCGGGTGCAGGTAAAAGAGGTCCTATTTTAGGGGATATTTTTATTATTTAAGATAACACTACTTGTGATTGCAATACACTTTTATAAAGGGGGCCTAGATAAACGTTTTGTGCGCGGGAATGCACTCATTTCGTTACGCTACTGGTCTGAGAGGTCTAACACATGATGTGCTATGAGGTGTACCAGTGCCTGGTACATACAATATAAAAAAGTTCAAAAACGTTTTCATGACTTTTCTCCAGGTAACCCCCCCCCCCTTTCAGTAAGTACTTGTTGATTGAACTACTGATAGATGTTGGGAGGAAGTCAGATGTGAAGGGATAATGAAAAGAAATTCCTCAGTAAAACGCAAAATAGCAATCACCAATGCACGTAAATTAGCCACAGACTTGTTAAATTACAGGATGTGATAGACTGAAATTAAGAGAAAATGTGGATTCTACCGTCAAAAGAATGCCAGACACTCAATACAATTATAACTATTAATATTGCAGAGTGTCCTCCGAATCGGAAGGGATCGTCAACTTTTCATCTGATTTCACAACGAATAACCCGAATACATAATTCAAAGTTTTCTTATAATTACTACTATTCTTACCTGATGTCTTCTAAAAGATCACATTCATGCTGGTTCTTTGCTTGTAATTTTGCAACTTGTTCGGAATGAAGTGTCTTCAAGAACTTGGCGTAGTTTCCCTGCAATGAATTAAATATAAATTAATAATCAAAAAGACTAAAAATATTTTAAAATTACTTTAACTTCATAAAAGAATTAGATTAAGTTAAATAATATCTAATTGTCAGGATCGGGTTCGAATCCCGCCCGGGTGGGTAATTCTTTGATTAAATTTAATTATTAAAATAATTCCAAATTAAAGTGATCCTCATGAAAATAGATTCAAACATATCATGGCTGTATAATGGAACAAATTAAGCGTTTTTCGAAACTAACATTTTTGTTATAAATTGATTAATTGAGATAATTATTTGTAATACAGTAGAACCTCGCTAATTCAAACTCCGCAAATCCTAACAAAATTCGGGATGGAGGAAAAAAAACAAAATAAATAAAATATTTGTTTGTAATGTAAAGAAAGGGTTTTATAATTACTGTAGAACTGATCAAATAATTGTTGAAACACAAGTTCTCGAAATGAAACCTTTATTGCTCTGGTAACTACGATGTATATCACATGCTTATGGAGCAGTAATTTTCGATTAGAGGAACTTCCAAAATCAGCCATCTTCTTTTGCCGCAAGGGACTGAATCTGTTGATGATGCGATGAGATGACGCTATCGCTACGCTACGTTGCTATTTTTCTTACATCACACGCTACGTTGCATTGTCTGGCAATCCTATAGATGCATGTGTATGTGTACGGTACATTTTTTCAGGTAATACGAACATTTCCGAATGCAAAGAGAGTACACACACCCAAATTAGTTTGGATTACCGGTGTTTAACAGTATATCGAAACTGTCGCAAATAAATCTCGTAGACAGGGAGGGAAAACTAGTTTAGCGGTATTCAGTTGAGGGTGAGCAGAAGGAAAGTGCAATAGTGGATTGTTCGAGCATGATTTCACTAACGAAACAAAACAATGCAACATTGCCTGTAAAGTTAGCCCATGTTGAAGTGACGTGTAGATGTGTTTCCTTTTCGTGTTTTGCCTCGGTAATGTGTGAAACTGTGCGTCAAAGAGGACTGGATTTAGGCATTGCTGGGCCCCTAAGCACGTACCGTATCGGTGCCTAGTTTTTTTATTAAACTTTACAGCGTAAAGAACGCTAGAAATGTTGCAGTTCTCATTTTTGTTGACATAATTATATTTTCGAAGATCGTAAAACTTCTAATTTTTTTCAGCACCTTTCTATACCTACAATATTGAAGACGGAGATATTTCTTATATATATATATAT